TTGTCAACAGATTATACAGTACCAATCACACAGATATCACCGCCTGTCAACAAACCTGAAAACATCCTACGAATGTTTACAATTCTAGGTGGGTCTGGCAGCCAGAATACCACGGGGATTCCTAGACACGAACATCAACTCAAGCACGACTGAAGACAGAGAAACCATACGCGAGCTGTTCGCTCTGGTGAAGGATACGCAGAAATTCCTGTTAGAAACTAACAAAACAAAGATGGCGTTTGGCCAACAACTTACTGACCTCGAGAGGGAGCAAGCCGGACTATCAGCACCACGTATGATTGTATTATATAATTCATCAGAATGACTTTAATATTGTTAATGATATAGGGAAATAGAATCACGTATTCAATTTGTGTATATGGAGATACAGGCCGCTGTACAAAATTTTGATGAACACGTTCAAGGTATTAAAAGGGAAACCACGTCCGTATTTACAGGCGCTCCTCACACTTAACCAGCCGTTGTTATTAGTGAGGCTAGTGACAGAATACTTGTGATGTATTGATAATCTCGTACTGTGTCTATGAAAAATCCTTATATCGGAAAGGCAGAAGCCAGTTTATTGCATAGTTAGCAAATACGTTTCAAGATATAAAACATCCCTAAAATATTCAAAAGGGGTTTTCACAATCACCTTCTACATATACAGACAAATGGTTAGGAAGCCACCACCGAGCATTAATGGTAGGTAAGAAAATAAAAGCTAGAGGGCTAGAACCATTTGCTATAAAAGCAGCAGCTGGATTTTGATCTCCTTAACGTCCACAGCAGTAGACGACAAAACGCTCCCCAGGTGTGAGCAGGGCCCCACATCTGTCGTAGTGAAATACTGCTTGTTGTTTTACTGAACCTGCAGGTAGACTTAAGTTTGGTTCTATTTTGTTTAACGTCCTATTAACATCTAAGGTCACTTAATTAAGGATGTGTCTGCATGGGTGTTGTGTAAGCGTGCATGTGTGTATATGTGCCGGAGACAAGGTATGTTTGTGTATTTCCTCCTTATGATAGCGCGGATCTGATGCCGACTTTATAGTGCTATCTCACTTAAATACCATGCCTACGGCACCCAGGACAGCGTTCCGCCCGGTCACATTATACTGCCAACGGGTGAACTAGTTGTTGCCATTTCTCCAAATGCTGAATGTTAAACAGTGAATAACAACTACACATCTAAGGACTTTGGTATGCCTCGGCCTGGGGACAGAACCCATTGCCTTCTTCCTCACCTGGGCGAGCGTTCAACACCAAAGAAAAAAGTGAGGCATTGCCAAGTAAGGCGCTAGGGAATTAAAGGTGATTGGAAGTAGAGAGAATATAAATATCCCAACTATTGCAATTAATACAGCAGATTTATTCTGATCGCTTTTGGGGCCCACACGTAGAGGGCACAAAAGCAAATCCTGCAGGGTGTCCCCATACAAGTCGCCTCTTACGGTACAGGCAGTGGGTAACAGCAGTTGTATTATTTTCTCGATCCCGACCTACACGGGTGCTTCAGTGCCTCAGGTAAACACAATCAGACTATTTTACAATCAGAACTAACCCCGGTATCGTTTTAGCAACCAATTATTTATTACAGCTGAATAGAAAAATAGACTTCAAAGAGCTACACAGAAGGTGTATTAGGATAGTGATTGGTGAGGTCTATTACCTCTAGCTTTGTATGAATTACATTTACAGACACCACGCTGTCCTCTGCGTTCTACGTCACCCTGGGTCAGGATGTCCGCTACCCGGGGGTCCGACGTCCCATACTGTTTGACCGTACACGTCTGGATGTCATGGGGAACTACAACACCCACTACGGCAAGTTCACGGCTTATGTGCCCGGAGTGTACTCCTTCTCGTGGACAGTCGCCACATATTACGGACACTACATTGTAGCGGCATTAATGCATGTAAGTTTTATCATGAGACTGACCGTATTCACTCTCTGTCCTTTGTATTTTTTTTTATAACTGCTCCTCAAAGAATTATTAAATTAACGAAATAAATAATTAGAAAATCACCGTTAATATATATTTCAGAACTGATTTTGAATAAATATCACTATTCTACGATTCCAAGTGTTTCAGTATTCAATGATTATACATAACTATTGTTTCAAGGACCATTTCCTTCTTGTTCTATATATTTTATCAGGAAAATGACGCCCCTGAAAATAAAAATCACAGGTTTTTCTGAAATTAGGAAGCGCGGAATGATGGTAATGTTCTCAAATGGATGTTAAATATGCGCCTTGATATAGTATGAAATACATTTTAATTAAAAAAAACCATGAAAATATCTTATGTTGACAATACATCGAATTAAATGTGAAATTGATACATCACCGAATAATTGTGGCGCATCCCTGATACGACACTAGTGTGCCTTGCTGTTTATTGTAACTACCCCGGCACTCAATTTGAGTACAGGTTACGTGGAATAAACATACACGGCAGAGGTTGTCAATGAGGAAAAAAAACATATTTCCTTAAATCCTTGTGTTACTAGTATATTCTTTATACTATTTTCAATATCCCGCTTGTAAATGACGCATTTGTTCATATTCCCCAATCCTGTATTGACTTGGCGCGAAATAACGGATTTGTTTATGTTTTAATACGCTGTTGCTTTGATTTGTGTCGGAACTAGTTTTCTACTTGCAGGGTGACATCGTGGCCGGACTTACCATGGCTGGCGATACTGTTGACACCAGCATGGCGACCGGTACCGCTGTACTGCGTCTTAGCGAGACAAATATGGTGATGGTTGTGGTCACCGAAAGCTCAGCCGGAGCAGCAATAGTGGCATCGATGAGCTCTTTCTCCGGGTCCTTTATTTCTGCCTGAATATATGAAAACGTCTTCTTATATTTCGTAAAAATGATCAAATTAAAAATTAAATCTATAGTAGTCGAACAACTGTGACATCAAACAAAGACACTACTCTAACGTCCTTCGGAACACTGTTGTACACCACACCTCTCGTCCTTCGGAACACTGTTGTACACAATCATACCCGTCCTTCGGAACAATGTTGTACACCGTACCTCTTGTCCTTCGTAACACTGTTGTACACCGTGAGTCCGGCAAACGGCAGCTGTGTAAAACTAGCTTTGCGCTCAAACTGTTTCGTATTTTTCTACCGCAAGTGTAATTAACACCAATATAAAATATTATTGATAAGTTTAGTTGATATATTTAAATATTAATTATTATATTAACGCATATATTTTTAAAGATTGGTATTAGGAAGCATGCATTACTATATACTAAAATGGCTGGAATAATCCCGAGTTATAAACTTTTCCGAACGAAACTCTAGTGTTCCGAAGAGCCATTGGGAACTTAGAAAATGTATGTGAAGTTGCTGGGTTTGATTATTCAAATGACCATTGGTTTTGTTGGCCAATAAGAAAAAGGGTCAGAAATAGTTCTTATTGGTGAGAATCACTGTCATTTGTTAATCTGTTACACATCATTTTCAACCAGAATGAGACAAATGAAAGTAATTTGCTGAGGATTTATATGGTGAGGGTCCAGTATGCAGCTATAATGATGCCAAACTCGGTAAGAGCGCGGAATTATTGTCATGATCAGTCACCACATTTAGTGAGATCTTAAAATTCATCTTGATTTATGTTATTTTTCGTACACAGCCTCGTTGAAGAATTCTAGTTTGGTTTGATTTCGGGTGGGGGATGGGGGGTTACATGAGGAAGTATTGGTTTCTTTGACATGTGTCTACCTGAGGTATGCCGTTTATTCCAAATTTCTGGTTAATGATTTTACAGCAATTTTGAGGTAAAGATACAGATAGTTGATGTCAGAAAGCTGAGTTAGTTGATTCAACATTTATCATTCACATCACTTGTCTTGCTGGTTGTAAGCATCAGGTATACCTACACATCGGGTATATTCACCTCCCATACATCACTCATCAGGTATATATACCACCCATACATCAGGTATACAACTCCCATACATCAGGGCATTTTAGATCGCTATTCTCTGAAGGAAAGTTATTATTATACCACATCTATATAAGAGTTGTCTTATTGGTTGTTTAGATTACCTCTTGCCATACAAGAAATATGAACTTGGGGATCTCAACAATGTCCATGCTATGACCCAGGGAGGAAGTCCTCAGGGATGGGTTGCGCTCCATTAAGGAGTTGATAGCATGAGTGTTATTTTCTCTGCATGTCCAGAAACATATGTAAGGAATCTGAACTGATTTCATTTGGAAATAAGCCGTCAGGAGCAGGAGATGTCCCTGGAGCCAATCCTGTAAGCATGGATGTGTTCAGGGTATGGTCGGGAATCTTGATCATTTAAAGTACAACACCCAAAATTTCTCTATGGCTGTTTTGTCCCAGTTTTTCAGACCTGAGATATGCTACAATCTGTACAGTCATTAAGGAAAAGTAGTTTTTTGAAGATGAAATTGTCTTATTTTGCTCTATATTGGGCCCATCTTATGCCNACTGCGACGAAATAGCGGCACCAACTGTATGCTCCCCAGGGCGTTGAGAAAGATATTGACTGGTTGCAAATATATACAATGGAAGATATTATATATAATAAATGAGCATCACAGTATAAATTTATTTTGCTGCACACTTAATAAGCATTTGACATGTCCCTGTAACCCACATCTGATTATAGGCAAGTAGCTATAGGGGAATTATTATTGGAAGCCAATATCAGCACATCTAACTAATACAGCACATTAAAACAAGGGCCCCATGGGTTTAACAGGTCACCTGAGTTGTAATACAATTGTTATTTGTTGTTGTGATATGACAAAAACAAATATTACATATGTATAGCAAATTTTGTCTCCCTAATACTGAAAAGTCTCATTTCCATAAACTAATAAACTATAGCAAAATGTACCCCCTCCCTAGGAGTAAATGGGTGACAATTGATACAACAACATATATATCAGATATACACCTCATAAACCTTCTATAAATATCAGGTATACACCTTCTATAAATCAGGTATACATCTCCTATCAATCAAATATGCATGACCTTCTCTACTACCAATACAAACCTCCCATACACAACCTTTACATCCTGCATCAGCTCCTATTAGTCAGGTATCACCTATACATCAGGTATACATCTCCCATACATCTGGTATACACCTCCCATACATCAGGTATACACCACCTATACATCAGGAATACACCTCCTATACATCAGGTATACACCTCCCATACATCTGGTATACACCTCCCATACATCAGGAATACACC